TGCCCCCCTCTGTGCAGGTCCCACTCATCAGGCACCAACCTCCCCACCCCATGCAGCCCGGCCCTGCTGACGGTGGGGGTGCCAACCTCTGAGACCTTCTTGCCCAACATCCCATGAGATTACACACGCCCGTTGGCCTTCCCTCGCTCCGCAGGCCACTGCCAACAGCTACTTCCCAGAGCTCCTTTCTTCAACAAAACGTTGGTGAGATACAACATGGGCACAAGGTTCGAGTTCCAGCCCGTGTCCCACTTTGGGGGCCCCCAAAGTGGCCCCCTGTCTCCGGGGCAAGGTGGCACTTCAAAAGGGACAGAGCCAAGGGGTGAAGGAGTCAGGAGGGGCCTGTGTGTCTGGGGAGGGTCTCTGAATGCACCCCACGTCCCCTGGGAGCTGCCGGAGGGGCAGCTGGCCCACAGGGGTGGGCTCAGAGACAAGGAGGATGGATGCCCGCAGTAGGAGGACACATCGCCACTGGGCGGAGGACCAGGGCTGCGGGGAGGAGCAGCCAGGAGTTACATCTCCACGGACCGACTGTTCTCTTGCACTTTATTTTCTTTTTTGGTTTTTGGGTCACACCAGCTGTATTTAGGGCTGACTCCTGGCGCTGTGCTCAGGGATCACTCCTGGGGGTGCTCAGGGGACCCTGCGGGATGCCAGGGCTAGAACCTGGGTGGGCCACACGCAAGGCAGAGGCCTGTGCCGCTGTACCACCTCGCCCACCCCTCTCTCGCTCTGTCTCTCTGTATGAGCCCACCCGGCACATGCCAGCCGGGAGCCCCGGCAGGAGCGCCCGCTGCCCCACTGCGCAGATGACGGAACTGCGTCTCTTGCGTCTGCAAGGTCAGGCGTGAGATTCGAAGCTGTCCAGGAGGGGCATGGCAACAGGGTGCTCTGGACCCCTAAGCACGCCTGCTGGGGAGCTAGTGATCAGTGGATCAGCCGCTCCCAGCCTTCTGGGGGTGCAGGAGAGACGACCGTGGGGCGGTGGGTGCCTTCTCCAGCGCGCACGCTGCTGCAGGGGTCCAGAGGAGCCAACGTCTGCCTCCCAGACTTCCTGCCCGACGCAGCCGTGGCACTCGGCCACTTCTGGGGCCATCGTGCGTCTCCGAGGACACGGCGTCCAGGAGGACGCGCACAGCCCTGCGGCAGGGAGCGGGGTGCCCGCCCACATCCCTCCAAAGTGCCGATCCTCCACGAGAACCAAGGAACCAACCGGGCGGCCCCGCCTCTCCCCGAAGTCTCCGCCCACACGGGGCGTGGCCGCCTCCGGGCGCCTCCGGGAGCGCGGGCGCGCGCCGTTCCCTCCCCCCTGGGCTCTCGTGCGCGCGCTTCCCTGGCCCCGGGCCCCTCGTGCGCGCGCGCTCCTGCCCGCGGAAGAGGATGCGCGCGGCCCCGGCCTGGCCCGAGTCCCGCCCGCCGCGTCCCGGAGGAGCGTCCGGCTCGCTCGGGCAGCATGAAGTAAGCAGCGTCCCCGCGCCCGCGGGTCTGTAGACCCGGCCCGGTCCGGTCCGGCCCGGCCCGGCCCGGCCAGGCCCGGGGCTGCAGCGTCCCCGCCCGCCCCGGCGCGCGCTTCCCCGGGCCCGGGTCGGGACCACCCGCGCGCTGCTGCTCGCCCACCCCGCGCCCCCGCCCGCGCTGTCTTTGACCTTGGACAGGTTCAAACCGCGTTTCCCACCCGTCCCGGGCGTCTCTTTGCAAAGCAGACGCGCCCCGGGGACCCGAAAACGAGCCCGATCCCGATCCCCCCCCCCCAGAACGCGCCGCCGGAGGGAGACGCGTTCTGGGCTCCCTCCCACCCCCTGCGGTGAGGGTCCCGCTGGCCCCCGGCTGGGCGAACAGGGCAGGGGGTTGTGTTTCTGCAGACGCTGCGGTGGTTGAAGGCCCCTCCAAGCACAACGATCGCATCCGTGGGCCACGAAGGGACGTTATTGGGACTTGGAGAAGACTGATGCCCGGCTGTGGCCAGCCCCTTGCCCACCCCCAGGCCTGGCTCTTCTCCAGGTGTGTTTTGTTTTTGTTTTTGTTTTTGTTTTTTTTCTTCCCCAAGTGGCTAGATGACCTTTTAGCAGCACTTCCCTCCCCAAATACTTTCCCCATCCGAAGTATTTTCACAGTTATGATCTGGGCCGGACTTTAAAATGAGGAGGAAGATCCTGGTTTTTATATTGTGCCGAAGGTCCTCCGTAGGACCTTAGAAAGACTTAGATTATACACAGCCACACCTGGAGGAGTTTGGGTGGGACCTTGAGCCCACCCAGCATGATTTTTTTCTGTGTTTTTGCCACTAACTGGAAGGTGGCGGGACCGTGGTGGGCTGACCCTGGGCATTTGTTTTTGCCGTGGTTAACTGGTTTGCAGAAGTTCCGGGAATCCAGTGAGAAAAGTCTTCTTCCTTATTCCGGGAACCGACTGGTTTTAGAGTTCTGAGTGTAACTAACGGGCACTTCCTGTGTGCTGAGCACTTGTGCTGCTCTGGTATTCTGTGTCTTACCTGCTCTCTTTCTCTCTGCGGTGAAGCTGCAGAGAGGCTGTTAAATGAGGTCACACAGGTTTGACCCCAAAGTTCTCAGGTCTCAGGTTTGGGCCCTGTCCACAGGTGCTGGCCCTTCACCCTGCCCAGCCTTCAACACAGCAGCCCTGGCTTAGCGGTGGTCTTCCTGCTACGGGGAGGAGGGTGGGTGCTACAAATGGGGCCAGGGGACACCACAGGCAGGCCTCAGAGGGACACCTGAGCTGCCCCCTCCCCCCATGGCCTCCCATCCCTCGCGAGCAGCTGGCCCATCTGCCCCCCGACTTTGAGGAGTGGCTAGCTCCCGCAGGGCACAGACATGTCAGGGTCCCTGTGCATTTTATTGCAGGCCGGGCGAGCACACTCCAGCCTTGCGTTTCCTGTGGGCAGTTGGGCTTTCTTGCCCGTCAGTCCCCAAGTCCCGCTTCCTGTCGGTGCCTGCATGTAGGGCCGGGCAGTGGGTGGTCACAGGCCCTGTGCTGCCTGCCTGCATGGGTGTTGGGGGTCCCGCTGAGTTGTGGGGAGCCTCCACACTGTGACCCCGCCCAGGAGCTTCTCTGGGGGAGTGAGTTCCTGGCACACAAGGGGTCTCATTGATTCGGCAGGTGTTTCTGGCCCACTGTGTGTTGGGGCTCTGGGCTGGGTGTCTGGGGGGCTGTCTCCATCTCAGAAGTAGATGCACGTCTTGTGCTGGAAAGGGCTGTGTGCCGCAGGGAAGTCAGTGAGAGGAAGCTGATGGTTTCAGTCATCTGAGAAGGGCTGCTGACCCTGTAGAAGGAGCTAAGCCTAGGGACTCCTTTGGGCAAACTGCCCCGGGAACTGTGCAAAGGCCCTGAGGCAGGAGGGTGATGCTGGGAGGACAGAGACCCGACAGGCCAAGGAGGGGTGTGGCCTGGCTGCAGGCCCCTGCCCCTGCCCACCATGTGCGGGGGCCCTCCAGTGCTCCTTCACCCACACAGGTGGGCAGGAGGGTACCTGGGACCGGCGGTGGGGGATGGGGGGGGAGTGGCCGAAAGTGGGGATAGATTCCTGGATACATTTCGCAGGAAGCCTTTGGGGACTTTGCTGGCAGTCGGACCCCCAGGCTCCTGGCCTGAGTCTTGGGGATACAGGACGCTGTTGGCTGAGGCTGGAGCGGGGAGTAGTTGGAGTCAGAAGCAGCTGATTGTGTGACCCGGAGGTGGGGGACAGTCCAGGCTGGAGAGGAGGACTTGGCCTGTGGTCTGAGCTGGGCGGTGGATGCTGCCGGGACGGGGCGCTGAGGTCCAGCCTCTGCGGTGCCTGCGTTTTCAGCCGCGCACGTCAACGATCGAATCTGGCCTCTTACAGGGCGCCCCGTGCAGGACGAGCGCAGGAACACAGAAATCAGCCAGATGCAGGAAAGCAGACGGGAAGTGATGGGTTTTGAGGATTTATTGCCTTTTCTAAACAATTACAACAAACAGCTATTTACAGACCATACTTGGGGCGTGTGACCAGCTCTGGGCCTCTTTGCTGAGAGGATCTTAGGGAAAATGAAAAATGAAGTCATGAAAGTTGCTTATGAATGGATGGACATGGAGAGTGAACATGGACATCGTGCTGAGAGAAATGAGTCAGAAGGTCCATGGTTGGAAGCTGGCCACAAGTTGTGGAGGGGGGCGGCAGGCAGTTAGGACAGAGAAGCGACCACTATGACAATGATGGTTGGAAATGATCACTCTGGACAAGAACTGAGTGCAGAAAGGAGGTGAAGGGACAGACACGATGACCCTTCAGCACCTGTACCGCCAACCATGATGCCAGAGAGAGAGAGAGAGAGAGAGAGAGAGGGAGGGAGGGAGAGAAGAGAGAGAAAGGAAGAGAGAGATAGAGGGAAAGAGAGAGGGAGAGAAAGAGAAGGAGAGAGAGGGGCAGGCCACATTTAACACACACAGGAGAGAACCTTGGGTGAGGTGAGGGCGCAGATCACCGCCTGGTGCGTACACAGGTTCCGTGGACTTTAAGTCTACCTTCGAGGTTGTGTCAGGTGTCAGTGGCCTTGCCTGAATTCAGCATGACACGGGGGCGTGGAGGCTGCAGGCAGACGGCACCTGGCCCGACACAGTGGAAGCTGCCTGTCGGGGCGGCCTGTCGGGCTTGGGTTCCTGCATAGCCGTGACTGGCCGCTGGCCTGGGGGGCTCCTGAGGCAAGTGCTGAGTGCTGGTGGGGGTTGGGGGGCTTCTCATGCCACGGGGGGCTCCTGCGATTGGAAGCTTTCGGGGCTGAAAGAACCGAGGGGCAGAATAGGGTGTCTCAGGCTGGGGCACGCCTCGGTAAGGGACTGCGGTGTGAGTGGCCAGGCAGGGCCGGCGTGGATGGGGTGGACAAGGCTCCCAAGGACCGTGCCCTGCTGAGGAGTGACCTTTGGTTCTGACTTTTGTTTTCTCCCTTCGGTCCACTTTAAAAAGCCCTGATGCAGGGGCAGTGGATTGCAGGCACTGCCCTCGTCTCGGCTGGCTGGGTCAGCGAGGCCTGGGCCGAAGGTGTCCATGCAGCGCTGGGGAGGGAGGGACAGGACAGTGTGCCGGCTGCACGCCCTGCTGCTCTCTGCTGCCCTTTGTCTGCTGGGGTCTGAATTGGCCTTTGGGCGTCACCAGAACGCTAGCCGGAGGCTGGCTGGGGCCGCGCTCACACCCTTGGGGGCTTAGCAGAGCCGAGCTCTGAGAGGTGAGTCTCCAGGGTGCCCGCTTGATCTGACGCTCGGAGGGGTCTGTGAGAGGATTGCCTTCAGCCCCCCTGCACGCCCACCTGGGGGTCCTTTCCGCCGAGTGTCTTGAGATGGACCGGGACGAGAGGGCCCCGCGCCCTGAAGCTTTGGCTGCATGGCTTTGTCTTGGCTTCTGAGTGATGGGTTTCGGCGAGGGGTCTCGGCTCCCAAGATGTGGAGAGGCCTGGCGTGGCCCCGGCTGACCCCTTCCTTCCCGGCAAAGAGAGTCGGAGGGTCCCCCTGCTCCGTCTCGGTAACCCACAGCAGGAGCTGCCCGCCAGGGACCAGGAGCTGTTCCGGGCCTGAATGGCACCACCGCTAGCCCCAGGCCCGTGGACATGGCTGCCCCTCCTGGCCTTGACCTTCTCAGGCGCATCCCCGCGGACTTTATTGATTCAGTCAAAGTTGAATGATCGGTCGGGCCACTCACTGCCCTGTTTGGGGGCTGGCCCCGAGCCCGAGCTCTTACCGGCCGGATTTCACAACCTGCTTTCCAGCAGGCTGGAGGGGGGACGGGCTCCGGGCACCGGGGGCCAGCGACTGGGCGTGATCAGGGCCTTGGGTGTCAGTGGCTCATTCCTCCCCGAGGCAGGGAGCGGGGGGGGGGGGGGGGGACAGGGCTGGAGCTGGACCCTGACCTGTTGGCCTTGGCCTGGTGGCCGAGCTGCCCCCTTTCTGTCGCTTCTGGGTCTGGGAAATGCCGTCGTCAGTTGACATTTGATCAGGTTCTTCCCTGTGCTTTGTCTCAGCTAATCTTCTTGCCCTGCCCCTTTCCCGGGAGGTCCTTTCCACAGGACGGGGCCCCTCAGTGTGGGCTGGAGTCCAGTCCATGGGCACTGGCTGTGCCAGCACTGCCCCAGAGGCCATTAGCACTGTGACCCCCCAACCCCCGCAGCAGAACCTGCTTCACCTTGCAGCTGCCTGGGCCAGGCAGGCTTGGGCCAGACTGCAGAGGAGAGAGGATTGGTGCCCACAGTTGGTGCGTCAGAGAGGGCTCCCGGGCCCGTCTCTGGCCTGTCCTGGGTGGCCAGCACGTACATCTGTGGCTCAGGACAGTGCTGAGGGTGGCCCGGTCACTCTGGTATATGGAGATGGGGGAGAGCTGGGGAGCAGCCCTGAGAACCCCGTCAGCACCTCCTGAGAGTTCAGTTTCCTTCTCCCTCCCTGTACCCTGGCGGTTCTTGCCAGCAGGGCCGTGCCCACGAGGCCTGGAGCTCTGCTGTTGGAGGGTCTGGGGGGTCTTCCTGGCCAACGGGTGCCGGAGAACCTGCATTTACAAGGGATCTGCAGGGCCTGGGTCGTGGCCCCTGACTCCGGAGTAGAGCCCCCGCCTTGCACATGTGGGACGCCCGGGTCCATCCCAGCTCCAAGCACAGGATAGCAAAGAGGAAAGCGGCCGCACCCAAGAGGTGCTGGGGGCAGGGGGGTCTCCACGAGGCGCAGGAAGCCCAGCGCACCCCCCACCCTGCTTTCCGGGGTGTTTAACGAGGGTGGAGTTAGACTCAGGGGCAGTGACTGGTGGCTGGCTTCCTGCTTGCTTAGGGGTGCAGGGAGGCGGGAGGGGCCCGCCAGGGGCCGCAGCAGGGAGCTAAGGCACCAGGGCAGGGAGTTGGGACTGGACAGCAGGGCTGGCATGAGGGCTCAGGTGGGTTCGGGCTCGGGGCACCCCGCTGTGGGGGCCCGCAGTGTCCGCCCTGGGCCCTGACCGGCGGCACCGGAACTCCCTCCCCGCTGGGACCCCCGCTCCGCCTGCTCTGGCTCCCGGCGCCGTCAGCAGCTCGGAAATGCCCTGGCCAGCTGGCCGGGCTGCCGCGCCAGGCTCTCGGGCAGCCTCGCGTCTCTCCTGCTCTGACCTTGCAGCATCTCCCTCCTTCCCGCGCAGGGCTGCCGTGGGGACGGGTAGCGGGAAGTGGAGCAGAATTGGGGTGAGTGCAGAGAGAGCGAGCAGAGGGTGGCCGGCCCCCCTGGAAGGAGCCAGTTTCCTCTCCTCCTGGAAGCTCCCAGAACGGGTGGCCCGGGCATCCTGGGCGCCCCCAGTGCTGCTGAGGGAGGGGCTCGGCTGGGTCAGGCCATTGTTCCGGCGCAGGCCTGGCCGGGTAAAGAGTGGTGTGGGGGTCTGTTGTCAGGCCAAGGCGGTTCTGGGCTCTGGGGAACTGCACGCCTGCAGGAGCTTCCAAGTGGGCTGAGCCACGGGGAGATTCGAGACCGCGCAGTTATGAAGGGGGTTAGTTCATAGCTAGCGTTAAGAAGGTCGTTTGGGGGGCTGGGCCGGAGCGATAGCACGGCAGGCAGGGCGCTTTCCTTGCCCACGGCTGACCCGAGTTCGATCCCCGGCATCCCATATGCGCCCCATCAGGAGTAACTCCTGAGTGCAGGAGTAGCTGAGCATTGCCAGGTGTGACCCCAAAACAAAAAAGGAACAAAAAGGTCGTTTTGGACACCTCCCCCCCCCAGTTTCTGTGTCCCGGCTGTGTCACCCCTGATGTCCACGCCGGGCTCCACGGTCTGTCACTGCACAGCCCCCGCCCCCCTGGCCCGTGGACGTGGCCCCTGACCCCTCACTTCTCCTTAGCCATGTGCACACAGAGGGGCTTCTGCCTCCTGCTCTCTGCTGGGGGCACGTGTGGGGGTCCTGGGGGGGCCGCCCGCCCAGCTGGGGCTTTCTTTTCTGACTCACTGTTGCCCTCCCCCAGGCCCCCACCATCTGTTTTGACTGGCTGCGTGTTGGGAGAGATTTAACATGGCCAGTTAGGGCTGGTGCCCAATTGCAGCCGAGAGGGTGTTTGCCCTGCACAGGGTCGACCCGGGCTCAATCCGGCACCACCGAGCATCGCTGGGAGTGATCCCTGGACTCAGAGTAGGGGATAAGTCCTGTGTGTGGCACAAAACTTAATAAGTAAGTAAGTAAGTAAAGGCCCTCCCGTTGATCGTCGATTTGCTTGAGCGGGCCCAGTAACGTCCCCATTGGAGACTTTGTTGTTACTGTGTCTGGCATATCGAATACTCTCGGTAGCTTGCCGGGCTCTCCGAGAGGGGCGGAGGAATCGAACTCGGGTCGGCCATGTTGGCTGCGTGCAAGGCAAACGCCCTACTGCTGTGCTATCGCTCTAGCCCAAGTCAGTAAATAAATAAATAAAATAACCAATGAAATTGACTGGCTTAGCTGGCGCCCACCCATCTGGCTCCCTCGGCCCCTCCCTGGGCCCAGGTGGGGGTCTTGCTGGTCTCTCCCTGCTGTCCTGCTGGCTGGGTCCCCATCCCCACGCCCCTGTTTCAGATGCTCCCCGGCTAGCCGCGAGCCCCTCTCAGCCCCAGCCTGAGGGTTGGGTACCCGAGTGAGCGGAGTCTGCAGGCTCTGCCAGCACCGATGCCCAAGGAAGCCACAGGAGCCAGGCCTGGGCCTGGCAAGACAGCATGCAGTGCTGCCCACTGCTGCCCTGTTCAATGGGGGATGGTGTGTGCCTGCCCCCCTACCCCCGCACTGGTCTCCCCCGGGCACGGCCAGCATCAGCGATGGGGGAACTGGGCCACTTGGTGCTGGGGGAGCAGAGAGGAGAGCTGGCCCCCGCCTTGCCCGGTCTCCTGCGGCCCCCGTCATTATCCGGGACCCCGAGTGGTGAAACCGGGGCTCAAGTCCTGGCAGCCCTGGAGCCTTCACCTGGTGCCCGGTGCCTGGGCCTCCCCTCTAGCATGTGCCCAGGCAGCGCTGTTGAGCCGCCGGGAGGAGCCGTGGGCGCTGCGTTTCGGGGTCTGTCCCCGTGGGAGGTGTTCGTCGCCTTGGTCCCCAGCACGGCATCTGACCTCCTGTCCCTGCGTTCCTCCCCACTCCAGGGACCTCGGGACGATGCTTGCGGCCGCCCTGTGCCTCGGCCTTCTGGGCTGCCTGCGGGCCCAGGAGCTAGGGGGCCACGTGTCCGTCACCCTGCTGGGCGCCACCGGGGACCTGGCCCGGAAGTACCTGTGGCAGGGCCTGTTCCAGCTGTACCTGGATGAGGCGGGGCAGGGCCACAGCCTCAGCTTCCACGGCGGCGCACACACGGCCACCGAGCAGGGCCAGGTCGTGCTGGCCGACATCCTGGCGACCCTCGCCTGCCCCCCGGGCCTGGCCGCCCCACGCTGTGCGGACCTCAAGGCCCAGTTCCTCCAGCTGAGCCAGTACCGGTGCCTGAAGACGCCCGAGGACTACGTGGCCCTGAGCCGTGACATCGAGGCCCGGGCGCGACAGGGGGGCGGCCGCGAGCTCGGCCGGATCTTCTACTTCTCCGTGCCGCCCTTCGCCTACGCGGACATCGCCCGCAACGTCAACGGCAGCTGCCGCCCGGGCCCTGGTGCCTGGCTGCGGGTGGTCTTCGAGAAACCCTTCGGCCACGACCACCTCTCGGCCCAGCAGCTGGCCGCTGAGCTCAGCGGCTTCTTCCAGGAGGAGGAGATGTACCGGGTGGACCATTACCTGGGCAAGCAGGTGAGCGGGCACAGCTGGGCCCAGACAGGCTCCACCGAGCACTGTGGGCATGTGCAGGTTGCTCTCCACCGCGGGGAGAGGCAGGGGGTGGGGGGCAGGCAAGACCGTGTGCCCTGGCCTTGGGCCAGCCCTGGGTCTCCTGCGTGGATCCTCTTGTGTCCAGCAGGGCCTGGGCATCGGCAGGTTGGTGGCCCTGCTTGCCGCAAACCCACTGCTGTTCCTCCAAACCTTTTCCTTCCCAAGTTCTGCTGGGACCCAGAAGGCCGGAACCAGGCCTGAGCCTGGAGCGGGGACTGGGGGGCTCAGGCGGCGGGGCTGGGGATGTCGCCCCCAGTACAGGGTGGGGAGGAGCCTCTGCGCACCTCTGGGTGTGGCCCCTCCAGCCCAAACCCAACCGGACACAAAGCTCAGAGAAACGGCCTGAATGGGGGTCTCGGCTGGCCCCTGCGGCATGGCCCTCCCTGAACCCCGGCAGAGGGCACCCCATGCTGGCTGCGAGCAGACCAGCCCCCAGGGCGGGGCGTCCTGTCTGCCCAGGCACCCCAGATCCCACCCTAGTGGCGTAGCTAGAGAAAGACCCACATCCCCTCAGAAGCTCTCCCGCCCCTCGGGGACCTGCTGTGCCGAGTCACGGGTCACCAAGCACCTCCCCAGTGCAAAACTGGAGCAAACTGGCTGGAGTGAGCCCGGGGGGCTGAGCACAGGCTGTGCCTACAGGAGACCCAGCTTTGTTCCTGGCAATGCGGGGTCCCCTGCTATCCCCGGGAGGGACCCCCAACCTGCACCCCGGGGTGGCCCCCAGGCCCCCAATACAGAGTTCAGAGTCAGTGGTGACAGAATGAAACACCATGAATACGGCACCGGGTGGGAGTCCCTCACCTCCAGGCCTCGGGAGTGCCCCCACCCCGACCCCCGCCCGGAGCACAGGGCCCACCGCCCCTCCCCCCACAGGCCGTGGCGCAGATCCTGCCTTTCCGGGACCAGAACCGCCAGGCCCTAGAGCCGCTGTGGAGCCGGCACCATGTGGAGCGCGTGGAGATCGTCCTGAAGGAGACGCTGGGTGCAGAAGGTGGGCGAGGGGGCCGCCCTGGCCCCTCCCCTCTCTCCGCAGGCGCTGGGGCTTCTGGGCACTCATGGCGGGGGGGGGGGGGGGTGTCTGCCGGGGTGTGCACGCCCTCCTCTCCCGCACCAGCAGGTCTGCTGTGCGCCCCTGTGGATCCGTCGGCAGCAGTGAGTGGGGGTGCCAGGCCCCCCCAGGGCAGTGAGGCGGCTGTCCCATTCCCAGCTCTGCACAAGGTGGTCCAGCAGCCCACCTGTCTCCCCCAGCCCGAACCCCACATCCTTCCCCCACCCTGCGCCTCAGTGAGCATCGCAGGGCTGGGCTCCAGAGACTTGAGCCCAGGGAGGAGCAGGGCGGAGGGGAGGAGGACTAGAAGGAGGGAGAGGAGGATGGGGAGGAGGAGGAGCAGGAGGAGGAGGAGGAGGCCAGGGCAAAGGAGAGGAGGGTCAGGAAGGAGGGGGAGGAGGCTGGAAGAGGAGCAGGGCAGAGGGAGGAGGGGGAGCAGAGGCGGGGAGGAGGTCTCTGGGAATCTCTTCTCCTCTTCTCTCTGCTGAGCTCTGCCTTTGTGCCCCCCCCCCCCCGCATCTGTGTGGAATAAAGGGAGGGGTCCTCCGTGTCCTCGCATCCCCAGGGCCCTCTGGGGGTGCTGAGCAGCAGGCCCTGCAGGCGCGAGTGGGTACTGCATCCAGCTGCAGGCTGGCCCCTCTGCTGGTGGTACTGTGGTCTCTCTCTCTCTCTCTCTCTCTCTCTCTCTCCCTCTCTCCCTCCCTCCCTCTCTCTGCTGTCCCCCTGTGGGTGGGCACGCGGCCTGTGTCTTTCTCAGTCCCCCTGCTCCTCTTGGTTTTCTCCTTCCCACCCTCCTAGGGCTTCTAGAAGCAGCCAGAGCACTGTGGGGGATTGGGGGGAAGGAGACGTCTGTTCTCAGGACCCCCAAGTTTACTGCGGTGCTGGGGGGGGAGGGAAGGCCTTGGGGGACAGTGCTGACCTCACCTGGGCCCAGGTCTGAAGGAAGAGCCCCCTGCAGTGCATGGGGGGGTGTCTCATGAGGGTCTCCCCAGGCTCGGGGGTCTGTGTTTCTTCCCGGGCCTGTGACCACTTTCCTGCAGGGGGCCGTGCAGCCACCGGCCTCCGGGGCTGGGCTGTGGGGGCTGGCTCCGCCCCGCTGTGCTGTGGGTCCTGGTCAGGGTCACAGTCATGGCAGGCCAGGCCCCAGGACTCTCCTCGCCTGTGTCTAGCAGCCCCTCCTGGGCCCTCCAGCCCTCCCACCCCCCTGTTCCCATTTCCTGCTGCCTGGCTGTGCCGTCTGCGGTGCCAGGGGGGCTGTAACTCTGCCCTTCCCGCAAAGGCCCTTCGGATCTCGAGAAGAAAGCAGAAGGCGGGAGAGACTGGCAGGCATCTGGGCAGGTGGACTTGGCTGGGGGTCCCACTGACAGGGTTACACTGTGTGCCTCTGTGGGCTGTGGGTCTGCGGCGGGGAGGGAGGGTCCCAGGCTGCTCCCCTCGGCTGGACCCGGGCCCCCCCACCCGGCCTTGCTGTGGTGCCTTGCAGGCCACTGGCCGGGTCTCGCTGAGGTCGCACCCCAGGTCGAGACGGTGCCTGTCCAGCCCTGGGGACACAAGACAACGCTGTCTGCCCCCAAGAACGAGGCTTGCATGGCCCAAGGACCTGCCCCTCCCCCCACCCCGCACCCTGTCCCTCAGGGTCCTGCTCAGGACCATCCCCCGGGGACCTTCGGAAACTGGTTCAGATGGGAAGGGAGAGGAACCCCGCAGACGCCCCCAGGGTTGCGAGCTGGGCACTCAGCAGGGCCTTGCATACCTGCCCAGCTGCTGGTGCCTGGTGGGCACAGGCGTCCCGAGGCAGGTCAGCGGTAGTGCTGGCCCCCACAGGGAGGACCCGGTCCCCAGGCGGACGGAAGGCACTTTCCCCGCAGCAGGCCTGGGACCGGCCTTGGGAGCCGCAAGGTCGTTCATGCACCGCACAGAGGGTGGAGGCGTCTCCCCAGCCTCCTCCCTCCCTCCTCTGCCGCTGTGGTTTTCCTTCGTTTCTGCCGCAGCCTCTGGCCCGGAGTGGCCGTGTGGCCAGCTCCTTGGCAGGCAGGGGTGCTGGGGGGTGGGAGGAGGAGGCCCCCCTCCCCCTCCTCCGGGCGGTACCTCGGGAAGCCGGGCCCTGAGAGCCCCTGCGAGTCGCCGATGCCCCATTCCTCAGTCCCTGTCCTCGTCCCTGGCCTCCTCTCCCGAAGCCGCTGCCTGGACCTGGTCAGGTCAGGCCAGGCCGGGAGCCACCTTGGCCAGGTGTCAACCCAGCCTCATTGCGCACCATGCAGTACCACGCGTGGCCACTGGGGGAGCTGTCGGAAAGGAGGGCAGGAGGGGTCCTTCCTCAAGGGCTGTGGCCAAGTGCCCCGTGGCAACGTGGCCCCTGACCTCCAGGCCCCTCCTGGCCAGCCTTCCTGCCCCCCAGCCAGCCCAGCACCCTGTGGAGAGCCTGGGCTGGGCTGGGAGGAAGGCGGGGGGGATGTCCCGAGGCTGGTGTGGCTGTTCCCGCTGGGGAGCCTGCGTCCCCCCACAGCAGGACAGGAGCCGGACAGGAAGGGGCATAGCGCTGCCTCACCCCGCGCTGACCGCGCAAGGCACCCCTCTTTCCAGCACCCCAAGTGCTCCCCGCACTGTCCTTTGCACTGGGAGGCCGGGAGTGCTGACGGGGCTCTGACCCAGTGGCCGGGCTTTCATGCCCAGCTCCATGTCCAGCGCCCAGCCCCGGGGCTCGAGGTGGGGCTGCATTTTGAGGGACGATGTTTTACCAGCGGGAACCTCATTCCCTTCCAGGCTGGTGAGGAGGGAGTGGTACCCCCCTCCCCGCCCCCTTGATCTTTGCAGGGGCTCCCTGGGCCTGGTCCCGCCTGTCCCCGCTCCTGTCTCCACCCGGGATGATCCCTTCCCTTGTGCCCAAAGGCCTGTCCAGGCCCTCCAGAGAGGTGGGTGGGGGGTGTGCAGGGGACACCTGTCCTCAGACTTGGTTGCTGCAGCCTTTGCCATCTTCAGGAGTTTGTGAAAAGCTTCAGAACATCAACATGAGGCTGGAGCTATAGTCTAGTGGGGAGGGTGCTGCCCTTGCACACGGCCAGCCTGGGTTCCATCCCTGGCATCCCTTAGGGTCCCCGGAAGCCCCACCAGAAGTGATCCCTGGTGCAGAGCCAGGAGTAAGCCCTGAGCATCACCAGATGTCGCCCCCAAAACAATAACAACAAACACATAAGACACGGTCCACATCCAGAGAGGGACCCTACTTGAGTTGCTCAGCTGGGGGCTCCCCTGATGGGGAGGGTGGAGCAGAAGCACCAGGCCCGGGTGGGACTCGAGAGTCTGGGGGGTGGGGGCCGGCCCGCTGTCTGCTCCCTGCCTGCTTCCTGCCTGCTCCCCGCCATTCATTAGCTCCGAGGGTCTCTCTGGGGCCCTGGGCCTATTTTTGGCCTCCTGGATGGTCCCCTGCTGTGGGGGGAGAGACCTCCACTGGAGGTTCCTGGCAGGAGCTTTCTTTCTAGAAGCTTCAGCCTCACCCATGTGCCCCCACCCCGTACCCTGCTGCTCTGCCTTCCAGAACTTCGAGGGGCATCGTGCGTGAGGGACAAGTTTTGGGGGGTCCCATGGGGTCCTGTGGCCTCAGAGGGGTCCTGTGCAGGATGGAGCCACATTTGGGTGGGGGTTTCTCCTTGTGGTGGCCCAGCCTGGTGTTTCTTGTCCTCATTCGTGCAGGGGGGCGGGCAGGCGGGTGGGGGTTCCTCCACTGCCCTCCAGAAAAGGACCCTGGTGTCAGTGGAGATGTTTTCAGGAAAGATCAGCTTGGTGGGGGTCATCCCCGACTCCCCCACTCCCTACTGCTGGCCGGGGCGGGGTGGGCGCCCAGAGACCGGGAGGGTGAGTACAGGATCGTGTAGGGCAGGCGCGGGCCGGTGCTCCCTGAAGCTTGAAATGAAGGCCCCATGGAAGCTGCAGCAGGGGACCATCCGGGAGGCTAAAAATAGGCCCAGGGCCCCAGAGAGACCCGAGGAGCTAATGAACGGCGAGGAGCAGGCGGGGAGCAGACAGCGGGGCCGGCCCCCGCTACCTAGACTCGGTCTGCGCCCCGGGCCGCTGTGGGAACCCCACACTGCCCTCACTTGGCTGCTGCGTGCCAGGCAAGCGCCCTCCCCTCTGTCCCAGCTCTCGGGCCTCTGCTCCAAGTTTTTCTCTTTGGACCCTCCTTGCCAATGCTTAGGGGACCCTGAGTCTTCCACCATGTAAAATCATAATGAAAGCAAGTCCCCCAGCCAGCGAGGACTCAGGAGTGGGAAACTGAGGCAGAGAAGGGCGAGCAGGATGGAGAGCAGCCTGAGGGGGTGCAATTCTGGAAGGTAGAGGGGGGCGTTGGGAAGGGACAGCCGAGGGGGGTGCCCTCGGGGGCTCTGACGGGGTCACTCCAAGACAGCCGCATCCACGGCCCTCAAGCCTCCCGCAGAGCAGAGAATGGACCGAAGCTCCGGGGAACCAAGCTGAGGGCCTGAGTCTCTGGGGGTGCAGATGGGCAGGCGGATTTGGGGGTGCCAGGGGAAGCAGAGACAGGGTGTGGGGCCCTTTCCCAGGGACACAGCGCCCAGAGTGGCAGGGACACGGGAGATGGAACCTCCCCACCGCTGGGCCCCGGAGCAGGTTGGAGGGCATGGTGAGGAGGGGCTCCGGCACCTTGTCTGTCCTCAGGGGCTGCACCCTCGCTAGGCTCTGGTGGGTGCGGGTGTGTGCGGGTGGTCCCAGCATCCCCCTAATGGCCAAGCCTGGGCCCGCAGGCCGCCTCAGCTTCTACGAGGAGTACGGCGTCATCCGGGACGTCCTGCAGAACCACCTGACCGAGGTCCTCGCACTCGTGGCCATGGAGCTGCCCCGGAATGTCAGCAGCTGGGAGGCCGTGCGTGAGCGTAAGCTGGAGACCCTGCGGGCACTGAGGAGGCCGCAGGGGGACAGCGCCGTGCTGGGCCAGTACCAGGCCTACAGCCAGCAGGTGCGCCAGGAGCTGCAGCGGCCCGACGGCTTCCAGAGCCTCACGCCCACCTTCGCAGGTGAGCCGCCCACGGGGCAGGGAAGGATGCCCCGGCCCCAAGACCCCCTGCGCCCGGCGGGCATGAGGCCCCAGTGCTACCCTCGGCCTGTGTGAAGCCGGCCTGTTGTGCAGGGCTTCTGGTGGCGGTGGCACCCAGCCACAGTGGGCAGTGCCAGGCTGGCCCATGCCCCGGCAGCTGCAGGCTCCCAGCTGCAGGCGGTCTCCCAGGCTGAAAATGTCCCAGCCCTAGTCGGTGCCAGTCACTGCCCCCACCTCCCACTGTGCGCACGAGCCGCGTGGCATGGGGTGGGGGTGCTCGGTCCAGAGGGGAAACTGAGGCACAGCTCGGCGCCGCAGTGGAGGAGACGGCGGGGGGAGCACACCTGGGTTTGCCTCCTGCGCTGGGTCCTACTTTGTTGGGATATTTTGTTTGTTTTTTTGGGTCACACCTGATTGTGCTCAGGGGTCACTCCTGGCTCTGCACGGAGGTCACTCTTGGTGGTGCTCTGGGGACCCTATGGGATGCCGGGGTTCGAACCCGGGTCAGCTGTGTGCAAGGCAAATGTCCTCCCTGCTGTGCTATTGCTCCAGCCCCTGGATCCTACTTTAAACCCGACCTCCTGGCCCCCCACTCCCTCTCAAAGGCTGTGCAAACTGCTGGAGTGGGGGGCATCAGGAGACCCTTCCTGGGACACGGGGACAAGTCTGCACTGCCTGGAGGGGGAGGGCTGGGGGGGGCAGAGAATCACCTCCTGGGGCCCCTGTCCCCTCAGGCGTCCTCGTCCATGTGGACACCCTCCGCTGGGAGGGCGTGCCCTTCATCCTGATGGCCGGCAAAGCCCTGGACGAGCGAGTGGGCTACGTGCGCGTCCTGTTCCGGAACCAGGCCCACTGTGTGCAGAGCGCGAGGCAGTGGGACCCCGCGCAGAGCCCCTGCCTGCCCCGCCAGCTCATCTTCTACATCGGCCACGGCGAGTTGGGCAGCCCCGCCGTGCTGGTCAGCAGGAACCTCTTCAGACCCTCCCTGCCCGCCCAGAGCTGGACAGAGGTGGAGGACCAGCCCGGCCTGCAGCTCTTCGGCCGGCCGCTGGCTGATTTCTATGTGTATAGGCCGGTGACAGAGCAGGACGCCCACGCCAGCCTCATCGGCCGCATCTTCCACGGCCACCAGGAGGCCTTCATCACCACAGAGAGCCTGCTGGCGTCCTGGAGCTTCTGGACACCCCTGCTGGATAGCGTGGCCGGGCAGGCGCCCCGCCTCTACCCGGGGGGTGCCGACAGCGGGCCCCTGCTGGACTTTGAGCTCAGCGACTCCCACCTGGCCTTCTGCCAGCAGCAGCCGGAACAGCTGGTGGCCAGCCCGGGACCCGCCCCGCTGCCCCGGGACTTCCAGGTGCTCCAGGCCACCTACCGCGAGAGCCAGCTGGTCTCGGCCTGGCCCGAGGAGCTCATCGCCCGGCTGGCCCAGGACATCGAGGCCGCAGCCGAAGAGGCCGTGCGGCGCGTGGGCGAGTTCCACCTGGCGCTGTCGGGCGGCTCCAGCCCCGTGGCACTGTTCCAGCATCTGGCCACGCGGCAGCTCACCTTCCCCTGGGCGCACACGCACATCTGGCTGGTGGACGAGCGCTGCGTGCCCCTGCGCGACCCCGAGTCCAACTTCCAGAGCCTGCAGGCGCACCTGCTGCGGCCCGCGGGGGTCCCCCACTCCAACGTGCACCCCATGCCCGTGCACCTGCGCCAGCGGCTCTGCGCCGAGGAGGACCAGGGCGCCCAGCTCTACGCCCAGGAGATCGCCGCGCGGGTCAGCCACAGCAGCTTCGACCTGGTGCTGCTGGGCATGGGCCCCGACGGGCACACGGCCTCCCTCTTCCCGCACTCGCCCGCCGGCCTGGACGGGGACCCGCTGGTGGTGCTGACCCACAGCCCCGCGCCGCCGCACCGGCGCATGAGCTTCAGTCTCCCGCTCATCAACCGCGCGCGCCGCGTGGCCGTCCTGGTCCTGGGCCACCTGAAGCGCGAGATCTCGCTGCTGGTCAGCCGCGTGGGCCGCCAGCCCCAAAAGTGGCCCATCTCGGGCGTGCAGCCCGAGTCCGGCCAGCTGGTATGGTACATGGACTACGAGGCGTTTCTGGGGTGAACGGCTGCCCCCCGGGCCTTGGCCCGAGCGCTCGGCCTCCCGTCCCCTCCACCCGAGAGCCCCACCGCCTGCCCTTGGGCCCAGGGCTCAGGGAAGGAGAGGAGGGCTCACCCCGGTCTCTGGCAGCGGCGGGTGGGGGGGGGCCCTGCCCGGTGGGAAAAAGAGATAGAATCACAGAGGTCGGCGCCCTACCCTGGAGAAGCTTCGAGTCGTACTGGGGAGAGAGAACCACCAGCAGGTGTTCACAGAAACCAGCAAAATAAAATCCAGACGTTGGGGCGGGGCTGCATTTCAGATTAGAGGCTAGGAGTCATCGGGGAGGCTTCCCGGAGGAGGTGACCCTCCAGTTGGCTCCCACAGAGGAAAGGGTGCAGGCCTCTGTGCAGAGCCAGCCCAGGGAACTGCAGAGACTCAGGCTAGTGCCGCCCCTCCCCCAACCTTCGTGCATTCAGCCACAGTTCCAGGATCTCTGGACTGTTGGGTGCTCAGCGTCCACTCAGTGGACAGAATCGCGTGAGCAGAGGCACTGCCATCCCCCCAGCCCCTCGGGGCGTCCCATCCCCTGTTCCTCCCGTCACTGCGTCTGTGGATGCCACCCAGTTCCCACGTGACGTCGGTCTCGGTCTCCCCAGAGGGACACGCAACTCCTGACAGCAGGGGGGCACCCCGTCCCCCCACCGGGAAAGGAGCTCGGCGGTTCCAGGCCTTCCACCCTCAGACCCCAGCTTTCAGGAACCTCCACAGGAGCCTGAAATTCTGGAGGGGAAAAAAAAGAAAACCCAAATTCTCAGGGCTCATTTCACCTGCAACAAACACTTCCCCAGGATCCGTGCTTCCCCAGGACCAGTGTAAACCGGTCCTGTGTCCAACCTACCTCTGGCCACGTGGGGGCGCCCTTGCACGGTATTCCCCCCCTCAGGATTCAGGTTCCTGGCGTCGCTGTCCTGGACAGGAGCGAGCCTGGAATGTTCTGTGCCAGACTGTACGCTGTATGCCCAGACCCTGGGCTGTCTGTTCACTCCCAGCTCAGGGATCCAGGCGTGGAGCCCACCTGACCTGCCAGGGTTTCCCCCGCCCACTGCCCCGTCCTGGGGACCCCGGGTGTGGGAGCTCGTCCAGGGGACCCGCACAGGGCTAACAAGGGCAGCACCTCCTCAGCTGACCATCTCCTCCCCACGACCCGTCACTGCCCCCCACAGGTCTACAAGGGGTCAGGATCCCCCAGAGAGGTGGGCGAGGGCGAGTATGCCCCCCCTCGCGTCCATCATGAGGACAGCAGACCCCTGCCACAGTCCGGAAAGGGGAGGCGCCCCCTACGTTCCCTCATGGGGGACCCACCCCTCAGCACCCACTGCCAAGGCGGATGGCCTTGCTGCAGAGATGCCAGGCTGGCACGGGGAAAGCTCCGGGCCGCTCAGATTTTTGTGTCCTCCTGGATGTCCTTTTTTCAAACAATAAAGTCACTTTTGCCAGAACTCCTCCTCCTCTCTTGGGGCGGGTGTGTGTATGTGCCTCTGTGTGTGTGTGTGTGTGTGTGTGTGTGTGTGTGTGTGTGACCACAGAGGGGCCCTGCATCCCTCAGGCCCTCTGAGGTTCGTGGGGCCCAGGAGACGTGTCACAAGAGCCTGAGCAGTCTGGAGAGTCGTCCCTACCTTTTGCAGCCCTGGTTAGGGTCCAGGGCAGGGGCGGGGAGGGTCAGCTGCTGACTCCCAACTGTGAGGGTCAAGGGTTGGTCTGTCCAGAGCAGGACCCCAGGGACAAGGGAAGCCAGAGAGAGAGTGTGTGTGTGCACGTGTGTGTGGTATGTGGGGCCCAGAGCCCATAGGATACCAACGTGTGTGTGTGTGTGTGTGTGTGTGTGTGTGTGTGTGTGTGTGATGTTCAAGGGCCTGGAGCCCTAGGGCTTTGCTGCCCACTGTACCCACAGTCCACAGAGCAGCAGGGGGTGCCTGGAGCCCAGCTGTGGCCCTACTGTCCCTTTGGCCGATGGCAGTGGGCTCCCTGAGCCAGCTGGGCCCAGGACACTGCTGATCTCTCATGCCTTTGAGGGAGCCCCCGAGCTGCTGTTCTGGGTTTTTTTCAGCGGGTCAGAGGTGGCTGTGGTCCAGTTCACACTGGGGAGCCCAGTATGTCTGAAGATGTCTGGGGGTCTCCCTGGAGCCCCCTTCTCCCTTCCCACCAGGAGGAGAGCCCCAGTATGTTGAGGATGAGGTTCTGCCCCCCGGATTCCTGCTTCCAGGCTCAGCCCCCGCCATCATCCCTCCTTCCCTACCCTGGCCTCCCCAAGCCTGCCCTCTACCACACCCCAGCTCCATCCTCCATCTCCTTGTCCGAACATATGACTTTCCTCAAGCGACATCTTCAGCCAGGCCCTCGGCCTGGAGCTTTCTTCATCCAGGGTCCACCTGCCTGTTCTTGTCCCGGGCAGCAGAGCTGTGTCCACGGCAGTCTCTTAGAAGACAGAGTGGGGACAGGAGGACCCACAGAATTCTGGAAATGCAAAGGATTTGTGAAAGCGAAGCCCAATACAGCAACAATATAACAGCCCCCCAATGCCCCAATACAGCAAGACTATAACAGCCTCAATAACCTGATATAGCAACAATATAACAGTCCCAATTACCCAATATAGCAACAATATAACAGCCCCAATACCCCAGATAGCAACAATGTAACAGCCCCCAACACAGCAACAATATAACAGCCCCAATACCCCAAGATAGCAACAATGTAACAGCCCCAATACAGCAACAATATAATAGCCCCAATACCCCATATAGCAACAATGTAACCGTCCCCAGTACCCTGATACAACAAGAATGACAGCCCAATACCCTGATACAGGGGCTGGAACCATAGCACAGCCGGTGGGGCAGTTGCCTTGCACGCAGCTGACTGGGGTTCGATTCCTCCGCCCCTCTTGGAGAGTCCGGAAAGCTACCGAGAGTATCTTGCCTGCACAGCAAAGCCTGGCAAGCTACCCGTGAGGTATTGATAGGCCAAAAACAGTAACAAGTCTCACAATGGAGATGTTACTGGGCCTGCTCAAGCAAATAGATGAACAATGGGAGGACAGTGCTACAATGCTACCCTGATACAGCATCAATAAGAGCCTCTGCCAATACCTCACCTCCAGCGACATGGAAGCTCCATGTCTAGTGGCCTCATGGGCCCTGGGCCTCGGTTTCCCCTCCCTAACACCCAGGCCCGGGCGACAGGGGCTGTTCACGGCACTTCCCATGCTTGTTGGCTCCAAACGTTGTTTGCTTTCAAGCCCTTTCTCTTGCTGGATTGGAGAGTTGGAGGCTGGCCCTGGAGGGGCCAGGGCAGCAGACCGGAGGGAGGCGGACAGACTCCGGGGGCTCCAGGGCCAAAAGAAGCCCTGTTCATGACTCTGGGTCTGAGCTGTACCACAGAGAATCCTGGAGAGGCTGCGGGGGTTCTGGGGGTCTCTGGCCCAGAGGTCTCAGCTCCAAGTGTTACTGTACTTGCCGTGGAGTCAGGACTCCCTTGACTGCAAGTAAAATGGTTCTGGGGTCCCCTCCCTGCAGGCCCTGACCAGGCAGCTGTGGGACTGGGCAGGGACGATGGACCGCAGGGACTGTCGGAGGCGCCAACTTAGCCCTTGGGTACCCAGGAAGTCTAAACATCAGGCAGAGTGAATCGGCCGGGGCGGGCGCACACAACACTGGGGACAGAGGTGCCTGAGGCCCTGGGATGTGCCCCTCACCCTTGTCTGCCGCCACACACAGCAGCTGTGGTCCAGATGCCACGGGGAGCACTAGGCTTTGCATGGTGCCCACTGGGCCCGTGGCAGCCACCCGGGAGGTGCCAAGAGTGCCCATAGCCCTCCCCCCCTGCAGCTCCTGCCCTGGCGGCTCCGCCCGCTGACCCCGCCCTCTGTAGGGGAGCACAGTCCCACTGACGCGCGTGCGCAGAGTGCAGGGCTGGGGACTACTCGTTCCTCCCTGGGGTGTTGTGCCACCTGTCAGATCATCGCCCACAAGCCCCACTCCAGCGACTGAGAGTTTCCGGAGCTTCCTTCACACGTGCTGGCTCTCAGCAAGCACCCGCCCTGCACACATCTGACCTGGCTTAGATCCCAGCCCCCATAGAGCCCCTCCGAGCACACAGCCAGCAGTGCCCCGAGCACAGCCAGGTGTGACCACAAAGCAAATAAAACCAAAGCCCAAAACTCATTGGCAGGAATAACAATTCCACTATTGTGGGCTGATGCTCTGGAGATGGGGACAATCACCCCAGTGGGTTCCTGTTTCTAAATTTAATTCAAGAGCGAGTCACCCCCCAAGAAAACCAAGAAGTTTCTGGGGCCATCTGCTCAGACACTCACCAGCCATTGGGAGCCCTGAGAGTGGGTGGTGTGAGCAGGAAGTCACAGGATCGGGGGTTTCCCTTGGATCCCCCACAGCTGCTAACATTTCTCTTTATGCTTAGTAATTCTAAGATTATCCACCCATCCATCCACCCATACATCCACTAATCCACCCACCCTCCACCCACCCAGCCATCTACCCACCCACCCATCTACCCACCCACCCATCCATCCATCCACCCATCCACCCACCCACCCATCCATGCGTCCTCTCCCCTCCCCACCCTCATTGAGGTCATCATCTTGTGTCTGAGTGTCCACACAACCACGCACTCCGCCTCCCGCAGGACACAGAGCCCTGAGGCCCCCAGGGACTCGGAGCTGCTCTCTGGCCTTTGCTGAGGCTCAAGGATCCTTTCTAGCTGCCTCTGTTCCACCACACCACCAGGACAGTCCCCTTGACTCCTCCTGCCAGGACTCTGCTGGGTACAGGGTGTGGTTGCCAGCCCAAAACTGTCTCAGGCCCCCTTCTAGAAAACAGTTTTTCTTATTGGCCCCTCTGAATGATCTTGTTCTCTTTTATCATCTCTCTCCTCCTTCCATGGAAAGTCTCCAAGGCCAAACCTCAGGTCTGTTTTGTTTGCGGATAAGTGACCCCCTGCGATGTGGGGGGACATGTATGTTGTGAGACCCCAGTGGACATGTGAAACCTCAGGCAGTCCAATCCCAGTATAAACCCCATGGATCCCTCTAGAGTCAAACTCAAGCTGAGGTTCAATTTATGAATTAGGCACGGTGAGATTTTAATAACACAACTAGCGATGAAATAAATGCTGCAATAAATGTTAAGTGAATGTGCACATTTCTGTTGCGTTCAAAACATCTTATTGTACCTTAGGTGCTGGGGATTTAGCTGAATGGTGGAGGGAAGGTTTTGCCCATATGAGACTCTGGGCTTGATCCCTCATACCAAGAAAAAGAATTAGGGCCATGTTATTGGGCTGGAGCAATAGCACAGCGGGTAGGGCGGTCGCCTTACAAGCGGCCAACATGGCCGACCCGAGTTCGATTCCTCCGCCCCTCTCGGAGAGCCCGGCAAGCTACCGAGAGTATTCGATATGCCAGACACAGTAACAACAAAGTCTCCAATGGAGACGTTACTGGGCCCGCTCGAGCAAATCGACGATCAACGGGAGGGCCTTTACCTTTTACCTTTTTATTTTGGTCATAGTTGACTTTGCATAATGAATTAGGGGAATTAGAGGAACTCCTGAATTTTTTTTATTAAAAATTTTTTTAATAGTGAGACATCATGAGGTACAGTTGCAGACTTACACATTTTTGTGCTTGGGTTTCAATTATTTTTCTTTTTTTTTTCATTTCATCATCCTGTTATTCATCGATTGCCTCGAGCAGGCCCCAGTAACGTCTCTTTCATCCTAGCCCTGAGATTATATTCAAGGCTCTTTAGAAGAATGAGACCCATCATTGTTACTGGTGTTTGGCATATTTGGTACGCCACGGGGAGTTTGCCAGACTCTGCCCTGTGGGCAGGCTACATTCGATAGCCTGCAAGTTTGTCCAAAGAAGGAATGAGATAATAAGATGTCATAAAAAGATGTCCTGATAAGATGTCGCATGGCTGTGCGGTTCCGGGAGCTGGATTTTATAGTCTCTGAGTCTTGGCCGTTGATGGGATTACACGGTGCCAGGGGGCCAGGTGGTGGGTGTGACCCCCGCCTACTGGAATTTGGAGGATCTGGGTGGAGGATGCTCGACTCCAATCCGAGTAGGCTGGGAGATCTCGGCCCCGGAACCCGCATGGCTTTGTCCCTCTGCCAGTACCTTCATGTGTGCGGAGAGTGGTCTCAGCATGGTGGTGGCTGGTCCTGGAGGTCTTCGGCTGCCGGAGCCCTGGTCGGGGCGGGGAGGAAAGCTCAACCCGCTCCCCTCCAGCGGGGATCAATTATACAATGATCAAATACCCATCCCTCCACCGGTGCCCATTTCCCACCACCACGAATCCCAGTATCCCTCCCTCCATCCCCCCCCCATTCTTCAGCATACAGAATGGACTGTTAAACATTTCTCAAATCCTTAATATTTAATTTAAAAAATCGTTCTAAAGAAATCTGGAGAGCAGTACTTCATCTTTATTATTGATATAATTTTTTTCCTTTTCCTTTTTGGGCCCCGCCTGGCAGTGTTCAGGGGTTACTCCTGACCCTCTGCTCAGGGATCACTCCTGGTGATCATACAGGATGCCGGGGATCGAACCCAGGTCAACCCTGTGTAAGACAAGCACCTTCCCTACTGTGGTATCTCTCAGGCGCCTGAATATTTCTTTCTCATGGGTCTAAAGATTAAGCCAGGACCCATCCCATGGAAGGTATAAGCTCTACCACCGAGTCACTCTCCGGCCCCACTGTTATGACTTTAATGAAGTTTTCTATGATACTGGAGATGCTGTCCCAGGGAGAATACACCAGAGACAGCTCAAAAACATCTGCGGGCGAGTTGGGATGTACCCAGACCGCAGTTTTCTCACTTTCATTGCACCGACATGTTTTAAAAGAACTTTGCAATAGTTATCACAAGCCCACATTCATCAATTGATTCATTATTTCTCCAGGCTGAGGTGCCGTCCTCAAGCGTGGTGATACCCTAGCTTCTCACTGAAAGTGCTCAAGGTCTTTTTCGTGGTTTCTGCTGGAGAGACGTACCGCAATACCAGATATTGCCAGCAGATGTCACTGTTGGCTCATATGTGCCTCAGAAGTAGACCAGTAGAAAAAGTTCCAGGCAAAACTGTCTGGGAGGAAACCAATGCATTTACTCTTGACCATTGTGAGATCGATACCCTTTAAGAGAAGGGGCCACTCGAATTCAGTTTCGGGAATGCAAATGGGCCTGAATGTTATCCGAAAGCTTTTGCACTTTGCAAGGATAGAGCTTGCTGCGTTATGTCTGTGAAGCTCACCCTTTCCTCAGATCTCTTGATCAATATTGCTAATAATATCTCAAACGTGTCTCTCCCTTGACCTCCCTCAAACTCTCTGGCTGCATTTTAACACAATGTTCTCCGTGGACCCGGGGGAATAGTTCTGTGCTTTAAGCTCAGGCCCTGTCGGTAAAAGATTGAGTTCAGGGCTGGAGTGATAGCACAGCAGGTAGGGTGTTTGCCTTGCATGTGGCCAACCCGGGTTTGATTCCCAGCATCCCATATGGTCCCCCGAGCACTGCCAGGAGTAATTCCTGAGCGCAGAGCCAGGAGTAACCTCTGAGCACATCGCCAGGTGTGACCAAAAAAAAAAATCGTGAGTTCAATCTCCGGTGCTACAACACAGCCCGAATCTGGCAGGCCCAACTCCTGACTTCCCGATAACTGAGATCCCTGAACGTAATTCCAACACAGGTTTGTCTGAGAACTTGAAGAAGGGATGCTCAAGCACGATAGGAAGATGTGTGAGCCCCACGGCAGGATAAACAGCAGCACTGTGACTATAGAGAAGGGCCCCAGTGAGCACTGTGTGGGGAGCACAGCCCTCTGAGAGTACCATAGCCGGGTGTCTGAGCACCACTCTGTGATATTCAACCCCAGGGGAATCCCACAACCAACATATGCAAGAGCCACAGGTGTGCATGGCCTCCGGCTCATCCCAAGAAGGCAGGGAAGGGAAAGAGGGGGAGTGACAGACAAGCGCAGTGCCCTGCATGCAGTTCCCCACGCTCTTCTCCATGGAACGTTCGTCCTCCTTCCCTAGATGCAGGACACCTGGAGAGCTGGTCCATGATACAAGCTGTGTCTCGCAAGGCGGAGAAACTGAACCCAGTCACACAGCTGGTGAATGCTGGTGAAAGGGAGGGGGGCTTTTCATCAGCCCCTAATGAGCCCCTTTCTCATTGGCTCCAAGGAGCAACACATATCCCAGGAGGCAGAGGCTACCCCCAACCCCCTCACCCCCCACCCCCGCTGGCTGGGGGCTGGGGCTGGGGTATGCAGCAGCAGCAGATAAAGTGGCAGGTGCGAATTTGCTCGCTGCTGGTTTCTGTGTCATTTTTCTGGGACAGATCTGGGAAGTGAGCGAACTGGACAGATGCGAGTGATGAAGACGGGGTGGGAGTGGATGGGGGGGGGAGGCAGCACCAGCAGCAGCTCAGGCTCCTTTCCCTACTCACCCCTGGGCACACAGGTTGTTGGTGTGAGACCCGCGTCCTCTGCAAGTTCCTGGAAGGCGCTTCACAGCCCACAAGGTGACGCTGTGAGTCAGGTGTCAGACAAACAGCTCGGCTCCCACGCAGGGCCGAGCAGCTGTTCCCTCCACCTGGCCTCGGGCTGCTGCCTCTGTTCTGCTCCCACCTGGTGACAGAGCTGGGAGGCACTGTCCCTGCACCGCCCTTTCCCTCCCTTCCTGGGGCTGAAGAGGGGGGCTCGCTCCCCAGGGGTTCCACTGAGGAGTTTAGACGTGATGTGGGGAACCCCTAAGTGGGAACCATCCATTTCACTTGGGAATGTGAACTGTCCTGGGGTCCTGGGCTGCGTGGCTGCAGCACCCCGCACCCCCACTTGCCCCATGGGGATGGCAGCTGGAGAGGGGGGAGACGCTTCCCCCCTGCAAGGAACCAAGCCAAGGGGACTGGGCTCCTTGTCTGGGGCACACCAGTAACCCAGATGGGTTTTATATAAAAACCAGAGGTTTTTATTATGCTTGAATTACAGAGAGGTTAAAGGACTCCTGGGCTTCTGAGTTTAAAGGCCGCGTGTGTACAAGTGTGTGAGTGTGCATGTGTGTGTGGATGCGCGTGCATGTGTGTGCGTGTATGCGTACGTGTGTGTGTTTGTGTGGTGCTGGCAAAGGCTGCCCGGCCAAATAGCTTGGACTCACCAGTCCCTACAACCAGGAGGGAGTTACATTGCCCGTGGCACCCATCCTGCCCGTGGCAGTCTGTATTTTTATTCAAAGCAAAAGGAAACTGATTTTCCCCAGTGCATGAGCCAGGAGTGGGAAGCCTGCAGCCGGGGCAGTGCCATTTCCTTCCCTGGACAGCAGCAGCCAGGCCTCTGGTTGTGGGACGGTGACAGTGGGGTTCACAGCAGCTTAACCCTGCCGGCTAATCCTGTGAGCCCCGGACAGTGAGGCAGGCAGGGCTCTCCCAGGGGCGGAGATGCGAAAAGGCCTTCGCCCAGCCCTTCGGAGAATGCTCGGGTTCGGACGCAGCCCACTCATGAGCCCACGCAGCAAACCTTGGGGAGGGCTGTCCACTCCCGGGCGCCGGCTAGGCCTTGCCCTCGGGGTCACTGGACATGCCATCATCGTCTCTCCAATTCGTGATTGGGAAGCTCATCCCTCTCCGAACCGCTGCTGCCCTCCCGCTGCGGCCAAGCCCGGAGAACCCCCTTTCCCTCCCCCGCGCCTCTAGCCCATCCCAACTGCTCTGCTATTTTCAAAGACGCCCCGGAGGGACCCAAAGCCCCTGGGCGCGCTCCGGGGGGTCTCGGGGAGGAGAGACGCTGGGCAGGCACGTGACCGCCACCCTCCTGAACCCCCCCACCCACCGCGACCGTGCCAGGCACGCGGGAGTCCGAGGGCGGGCGGGGAAACTGGGCAGGTCGCAGGCTGGAGCCAGGGGGTGGGGCCGGAGTCCGGGGGCGTGGCCTGGGCGAGTGGGCGTGGCTGGATATCGGGGTGTGGCCTGCGCCGGGGGCGTGGCCACGGCTCCAGGGCGTAGCCTGAGTCCTGGGCGTCGCCGGAGCCCCGTGGTGAGCCGAAGTGGAGATGGGGCGGGGCCGGTGTGGAGGCGTGGTCCAACCCGGGGCGTGGCCGGACCTGGGTGTGGCCAGACTGGGGCGGGGCCGGGGCCGGGGCCGGGGGCGGGGCCGTGCTGGGGGCGGGGCCGGGGCGGGGCCGGACTTGGGACAGGGCCTTCTGGGGGCGGGGCCGGGGCGGGGCCGGGCCGCGGGCGCGGGGCGGGCCTGGGGGCTGGCGCGGGGCCCGGGGCGGGGCCGCCCGCCTCCCGCTCGGCTGCGCCCGCTTTAAAGGCGCGCCTCGGCCGTCCTTCGCGGCGCTGGTGGCGGGGAGCAGCTGCGGCGCGGCGGCGGCCGGCGGGGAGGAGGCCACTTGGTCCGGGCGCCGAGCCCCGGAGCCCGCGCGGTAAGGCACGAGCCGCGGCCGGGCGGGGGGTCGGCGGGGAGCGCGGCCCGAGCGGGGCGCGGGGCCCACCTGCCGCGGGGCCGCCCCGGGCGTGCGGTGGCCCGACTGTCCCCGGGGCCGAGTTAGTTTCTTTTCCTGCCGGGGGCTGCCCCTGCCCGGCCTGCAGCGCCTCCTCCCCCGGGGAGCCCGCCGGGGCGACACCCCGGGCGGCGCCGCCCGCCCCGCCGCGCTCAGGAAGTGGACGGGACCGGGCCGAGCCGGCGGCCCGCGGGCTGGCTTGTGGGTCCGAGCGCGGTGGTCCCGGCCAGGTTCCCGGTCCCGGGGCTCCGCGGTCCGGCTCGGCGGGGTGCGGGCCGGGCCGAGCGCGTCCGCGTCAGGGTCCTGTGGCCGCTGAGTCGCCGCTGACCGTCTGCGCGCGCCCGTCCCGTCCCGAGTCCGCCGCTGGCCGCTGGCACCGTCCCCGTGCCCGTGTGTCAGTGTGTCAGTGCTTGTGTGTGACTGCGTGTCTGAGTGTCTGTGTATATGTGTCTGGGTATGCCAGTGCGTGTGCTTGTGTGTGTCTGTGCTTGTGTGTGTCTGTGTGGGTCTGTTGGCGTGTATGTGCCTGTATGTACCTGTGTGTGTCTGTGTGTGTGTCTGTGTGTGTGTGTGTGCGCCTGGGTCTGTGAGTATGTCTGGAGGGTGTGTGCATGAGCTGTGTGTATCTGAGTGTTTATGAATCTGTGTGCATCTGTGAGTGTGTATCTATGTTTGTGAGTGTGTGTCTGTAAGCGTTTGTGTATGTGTCTCTGGGTGTGTGTCTGTCTGTGGGTGTGACTGTGAGTGTGTGTCTGTGTCTGTGGGTGTACTTGTGTCTGAGTGCGTCTGTATGTGTTTGTGGGTTCTTTGTGTCTGAGTGTGTCCGAGTGTCCCTGGGTGTGTGCGGGGGTGTATATGCCCTGTGTGGTTAACCCACCGTGGGGATGTCAGCTTTGGGGTTCTCAGCCTGACTTGGCACCGGCTCTCAAGGGGGGCTTATGCCGGACCCCTGCACCCTGGAGGGAAGCCAGCTGAGGAGGGTGCAGGCTCCTTCGCCCCTGCTCCATTTCTCTGGAAATGAGCACTGTGGGCTTTGGGGTGGGTGTCAGGGGCTGCTCCCGGGTGAGCAATATTTAATTAAACACGTGGAACTTTAGCAGGTGTGGGTGGGGAGGCTCTGGTCTAAGTTTGGGGCGGGGGCTGGGGACCGGCGGGGAGGTGGCACCCCTCCCTCCCTAAGCCCCCCTGCTCCGCGTTGGGCGCGGGACCGATCTTTCCCGTCCAGCCGCTCTGCCTGCGGGCTCTGACAGGACTGCTTCGTCCCTGGAGTGCACACCAGGCCGCCCTGTCTCCAGAGCCGGGCCGTGTCCTTGGTTCCTGTCTCCAGGGCCGAGGTCACAGCCAGCATCGTGCTTGCCCTAGCCGTAGAGCGAGGCCGGATTCTGTGGCTCTGAGCTCGGCTGTTCGCTGCTCATCAGTGTGACTGGGCGGACAGGCTGGGCAGGGCAGGGCCAGCCACGGTCTCGGGTTCTGCCAGGGGCCCCGGGTGAGGGCCCTTTGGAATCCGTGAGGCTGTGTCTCGGGGCCTCTCCAGGTGCGCCGTGGGGTTCAGCTCCTAGCAACTGGGAGCGGGGCGGGGTCCCCACGTGTGCCCCGTCTGCGCCCCCCACCCCGTCCCACGTAGCAAAGCCCCGGCTCTGCCCGGCGTGTGCCAGGTGGGATGTGGAGCTTCTTGACCCCTCTCAGGGGCGGGGGTGTGGTTGCTGTGCGGGTGATGCGCTGGGCAGGGCAGTGTCCCTGACAGCGGGCGGGTGGCGCTGTCCTCCTCCGGGTGCATCTTTCTCTCCTCCCCCAGCTTCCCAGATAAATTCAGACTTGGTGGGACTGGACTTTGGACTTTGGACTGGGCTCTCCCTCTCCCGGTCACTGGTCACTGAAGGTGCCCCCAATACCTGGGGCCAAAGTCTTGGGGCCAGGCCCGGCCACTCACTCCAGGACCCCCTGCTTGACTCCTGGCTGTGGCGCGGGCAGGGGAGGGGACGGGGGGACGCGCTCCTGAACTGCCGGCTGAGGCCCCGCGTGGCATCACGTCACTCTCTTTTTGTGTGTTTGGGCCACACCTGGCGATGCTCAGGGCTTCCTCCTGGCTCTGTGCTCAGTCAGGCTTCGCTCCTGGTGCTCAGGGAACCCTTGGGATGCCGTGGATCGAACCCGGGTCGGCAGCGTGCAAGGCAAGCGCCCTCCCCGCTGTGCTATTATCGCTCCGGCCCCAGGACCACACCACTTTCTGAGAGGTGTTTGAGAGTAATTTTTTTTGTCATGAATGTGTGATTTCTGTACCGTTTTGTTTTGGTTTGGTGTTGAGCTGTGCCCAGTAGTACTCAGGGGTGACTCCTGACTCAGTGCCCGGTGTCACTGGCAGCAATGCTCAGGATCTCCTGTGTGCCACGCATGAGCTTCACCCGCCGAGTGCCGTGTGGCCCCACATAGATAACTGTTTCACATCGTGTGTCAGATTGTGTGAATGTGTCTCGGGGGGGAAGTTGCAGTGGGAACGCTTTTCAGAAGGCTCCGGCTCACTCCAGGGCTGTGCTTGGAATGAAGCTTGTGACAAAGTGAAATGATTTTTTTTTTTTTGCTTTTTGGGTCACACCCGGTGATGCACAGGGGTTACTCCTGGCTCTGCGCTCAGGAATTACCCCTGGCGGTGCTCAGGGGATGATATGGGATGCTGGGAATCGAACCCGGGTTGGCCGCGTGCAAGGCAAACGCCCTACCCGTTGTGCTATTGCTCCAGCCCCTGAAATGATTTTTTTGATCGTGGGGAATTCCGAACAGCTGCCAGAGTTGCAAGAATATACACACCTACACACAGGAACACATATGTGCAGTGTGTGTACTCACATGTCAGTGGGCACACACTGGCACATGGACACGTGTGCGCACAGGTGCAAGGTACGTGGGTGCGCATGGATGAGCGTCTGTACACATACATGCCCGTGGGTACATACACATCTCTTATGCACACAGGCATACACATGCACACTCACAGACAAAAAAAGGCCCCTGTGCACACACACACGTAGCACACACATATGCATACTCATAAACACCCATATGCATGCCCTCACACACACGCACACCCCCCGGGCATACACACCGGGGCGTACATACGCACCCAGGTGTACACACGAGCACACGTATGGGCACACAGGTACACGCATACACACAGGCACACGTCCGTGGGGCACACACACAGGCATACACTCACACAGACACTCGGGCATGCATGTGCACACAGGCTCATGCCCAGGGCTCCACGCACTCACCCACAGGCACACACACACAGGTGTTCCCTGAGAAGCATTCCATGGGCGCAGGGTCTCGGGGTAGAGGTGTGGCTTTGAAGGGTGCTCCTGGCCGCGGCGTGGGCGGGGTCTCTTTGGGGGCTCGGTTCTCACCCACCGGCCACAGAGGAGTTTCGGGTGTGTTTCTCTGAACCCCACGCTGTGGGTCGCTGGTCCTGAGACGAACCAGGTTCGGCACAGCACAGGGACCCAGGGCCTCTACGGGGATGGGGACGACCCGCCCAGCCACACTGGGCCTGGGGGGTGTGACAAATTGGTCGGCATTGATTTCTCTCGTGCTGGGGTAGAGGGGTGGGTTGCACGGGGCAGGACGTCGGTGCTGGGTGTTCTCCCCGTGGGAAGCGGGCACCTGGGACCTCATGGGGGGCCAGGCCTGATGGCTGCCCCGTATGAACACTGTCTACTACCGCATGGAACACACATGTCCACACATTTTGTCTTGTTGGGGGCGACGCCTGGCCGTGCTCAGGCCTCACTCCTGGCAGGGCTTGGGGGACCGTTGGCGGTGCTGGGGAGGGAGTCCAGGTCGGCTGTCCACTCTGTACTGTTCTCCCAGCACTGGAACTCTCTGTCCCTTTCTGTTGTGGCTCCTGCATTAAGAATTCAGCCAGTCTCCCCGTTCAAACCCCTGGTGGTGCTCCCGGAAGGCCAGTAACGGGGCACTTGGTGGCTTGGCTGCAGGTTGATGGGGCTCCTGGGGTCTGTTGGAAGTGCCAGATTTTTCTTTAGGTGGGCGAGGGGGAGCCACAAAGTCCCCCCCCCCCCGGGAATCCCCAGAGATAGCTTGTGGTGGGTCTTCCCGCATAGCTAGAACCGGGCGGGAGCCGAGATGCCCCTGGCCCGCTCACAGAGCCCTTTGGATTTCGGGGGTCGGGGTGTTCCCCGGGCAGTGCAGGGAGACCCAGAAACAGGGCGCAGTGCTCCAAGGGGGACCGGGGGGAGGGGCTGCAGCTTGTCGGGGGTCTCCTGGGTTTTGCTTGGAGATTCAGAAGGTTCTGGGGGGCACCTTTGTGGGTGCAGGTGTCCCCAAGAGGGCGGGTCCGAGAGAGACGGGTTCCTCCCTGTGTGGGGTGTGGGGTTTGTCCCCCGCCTCCCTATCCTGGAAACCCTGTCTCCTCCTGGGTGTGTGGCAGCGTGCGGGAACTGGACAGTGGGGTGTCGGTGGTACTGGTTGCTTCTGCATCTTTAGTCGACGTCCCCTGCAGGGGAGGGTCCAGCCCAGTGGGACTGGCAGGCGCTCCCCAGGCCCCCTCCCTCAGTGGATGTAGGGGCTGATTATCTGTTAGGAATTTAGTTTTGCTCAGGGGCCACGGTCGGCAGTGGCTGGACACGGCGGTGTTCTAGGGGCCCCGAGGTCCATGTGTGCAGAGCCCGCCCTAGGCACCAAGGCCCTCCTGGGTTTGAATCAGGTGCATGGGCAGAGACATCAGGGCCCCCTACGCCCCCGGCCTCCTGCAGTCCCCACCACATTCGTCTCCCGCGTGCATCAGCGCCAGCTTCGGGAGAGGCTAGACCCTCTTGTTCTCCTCCGTGGCTCTTCCCAGGGCCTGTCCAAGCTGGGGGTCTGTCTCACATGCTCAGGACCCCACATCCCTGACCCCCGCTTCCTCAGAG